TGTATGTAATTCTATTTTGACAGCATATTGTAAGCACTTTGTAAGAATTCTGATCTGAAATACGGAGATCATTAAAAAAAATTAGTGTAATAAAGAATTCTTATAACGACTAAAAAATGGAATTTTACGTCAAGGCGGAGCAGCGAGAGACTTTATATTTTCACCAGAACTTTTCTAATTATCCTATAAATTAGAAATTTTGCATATTTGTGTTATTCTTTCTTTATAAAATGTTGCCGAATTTTCTTTATTTTATCTCTGCTCTTTAAAGAGTTACAGTAAATGTCTCAATAATTTCCGAAGAGCCCTCGTATTTTCAATTTGAAGAGAACAATGAAATGGAAATGTTTGAAAATTTCATTTTTTTGTTTTACCTCTATATTTTTTAAGCAGTTCTTTTTTCTTTTCATATCCCTGACTTTAGAAAGATATCAATGACAAATACTGTTATTACGCTGTGACGAATTTCCGCGAAAACATTGTGTTTGCCTACATAGCGGAAATGAATCCCACGCGGATAAAAAGTACATCTACAGTAGTTGAAAGACAAAAGACAAAAGAGACTAGTAGATAGGAATTCAGACTGTATTGAAATGAACAGAGCTGAGATGGTAAATGGTTGCATGACAACTTTATGGATTTCATCTTCACAATGGAAGGATTTTTTTCTCATCATTCAAAGGTGTTGCTAAATTATTCATATATCATTTTTAATTATAAACATACACATTTATTTTTTTTATACTTTGGAAGCATATCACTCGTCTTGTAACAGAAATTCCTTGACAGAAGATTGTTCTGGATCTTGAGTTGAACTGTCGAGTAATCAATCAATCAGAAAATCTGTAAAAAACCCTTTTCTCTCTGCAGTACCGTTTAAGTGGACATTATAGCGAGACGTAAATTAAGCGATTTGTCCTTAGAAACTGGTAATTTATTTTTAGCGAGATGTTATTTTAGCAATTTTAAAATGCACATTTAAGAAACTATTACAAATAAAACGCAATTGATTATAGCGATCTCGACTTCCCCGCTAATAATGCCAAAATTAAATCCTCGCTAAATATTCTACTTATACGGTAGTTTTAAGTGGTGAATAGAAAGGTGGTAGATGAAGTGGTCCATGTTGAGACCCTCAGATTAAATTCCCTACAAAATTGCTTACAGAAATACAGTTTCTGATATTTTCACTGTATAAGTATTTTCCTTGATTATAGTGGGTAATGCTTACAGAGAACAAAAAAGGTTCTGTGTTGATCTGATGAGAACTTTGGTTATGTAATTTTGACTTCTGGAGGTAAACTTCTGTATTCAGCAAGCTTTGATTGTACAAAGAGTTTAAAGAGGCATCATTGGAGAACCAGTATTTTCTACAGATCACAAATAAATTGATTGAAATCAAATGAAAAGTTATATGTTATACTGTATTTTCCTGGTCATTTAGAGTATTCAGTTGTCATCAATCTTAAATTTCTGTTTGTTGACACTGATATTAATTCACTTTGCCAGATTTCATCTTTTATGATGGCAACTGTTTTAAGTTTTTGTACGTTGTAGTTTTTTTTTTTACATGTATTAATTTTTTTTTCAAAATTAAGGTCTGATATAATGTCTTCATATCAATGGAAGAATTGTTTCTCTTGTCTTTTTTTCAAATATTTTAAAAAAAAAATAGTTAAGATCTAATATTTTGCGAAGAATCAAATTAATAATGTCTTTTATGTTTACTATATCAGATGCATGTAGAACAGACGATAATGCTGTATTTCTCACAATAAAGTTCACGATGTTTATGTGTGTGATTTGGGTATATCGAATAGTTAGAAGTTATGTGTTTGTATCGAACAAAGAATTGTGTACTTTAGATCGGACAGTTATGTGTTTGTATCGAACAAAGAATTGTGCACTTTAGATTAATCAGAGAGATGTTTTCTTATACAGGCCTCACACATGTATTTTGACAAAATTCGCTATGACTTTCTTATGCTGCTGTATGACACTGCCAAAGAGAAGGATGCTTGTCAAGGGAAATCTTACGGGGTCCATAATATGTGTAACATTTGGAGATAACGAACAGTACTCAAAAATCAAAAATTCATAAAACAATGCAAAATAGAAGCAGATTAAACACAGACCTCCAAAACATCAGAGGTGGGATCAGATGCCATGAAGGAGTGAGCATTACCTGCCGTGCCCTCCTTATCATGAACGTGAAATAACGTAAACATTAGCTAAAAGATTTGATGGAAGCAACAAGTTATATTATCTGAAAAGGTTTGTAAATATAAACTAATGATCAAATGGGGAATGCAGCAGTATTCAAACACATGCATGAAAACTTTAACATGTTTATTAGTGGCAAACAATTTCTTTTTAAATTAATAAATATATAGGGCAAAATTCATTCCTGCTACAAATCATAAAATTGAGTTGATTAATTGATCATTCTACAGGAACGTAATTTTGCCTGGTGAAAGGTCAGAAGTCCTATATATGTTGAACTCGTGCGGCTGTGCTTTTGTTTGACGTTAGTAGGTGGATACTAATGAAATTAACATGTGAGGCCTCGTGTTTTTATACTCCATTAGACAGCATTTAAAAAATATTGTCACCCGAACGTGGTCGAGCGAAACATTTCTTCTGTAGGCATAAAATCATGGCTTGGGCATTGCTGCTGAAACTTTCCATCAAAGATGAAAACCAGCTGTATTTGTGCGGATTTTTTTTTCAGTTTCAACATGCATGACTACTTTTACCATGGAAACGTACGAGAAGTTTAAAATTTTATCTTGAAGTGTTCTAGCTGATCCCTTAGACAATTGTCATAAATCTTCATAGAAATGATAACGATCGTTGTAGTTGTGCGAATTACATCTAATATTTTCAAATCACCATTTCTGGAAAAAAAATAAACTAATGTTTTTTTTTTCAACAAATTAGATCTCTTAAAAGAATGTTCTAGTTAATACTTTAGATAACTTGTGTAAAAAGGGGAGGGGGACTTCTTCTAGAAACACTTACTTTCTTAAGGACTGGAATAATCTAAATTTTTATGTTTCAGTTTGGTGTGACATATACTTGCAAGGAGATTTTCTAGTTTATATTTGCAATCTTATTTAACATATCAATGTAAATATAAAAAAAACGGTTAATTGAGTTTTTCGGGGGCATCAACATTGGGTAATTTATGTATTAGGAGCTCCGCCCTTTATGCAAGTATCCTGTGAAACTGATCTGCATGAGTAAATGGAAATATTGATTATTTATGAAATGATAAAATTTCCTTTGTGGTTTCCAGGATGAGTCATCAAACTTGATGAAATCTTTGAAAAAAAATCATCTTTACTCCTTTACATCAGTGCAAAAGCAGTTTAACTATTGGCATAGTTTTAATGACAATGAGGTCCCCAACAAATTATAAAATTCATAGTCCTGGGGTCAATGCTTCTAGGATTAGGGTGGTGTGTTACCGATCTTATAGAGAAATACAAAAATTCTTTATTAATCCCCCCATGAAGTACAGTTGAAAAATGATAAGAGTCACTGGTACTTTTAAAAAAAAATGTTTTTTTTTTTTTTGGCTCCATGTGGAGTTTTGAGCTTGGGGATCTATTGATTATGTAGTTAAAATGTAAGAATTCGATACAAATCTTCTTTAGTGCTCCTTGGTAAATGGCAGATAAAAAAGTCTGCTTTTAAAAAGTTGTTCATTTAATATGGTGTCATTGGAGGTGAATTCAATCTTTACCGAAAATAATCTTCTGCTGAGCTCTTTGGGAAACAGAGTACAAATTTGTAAAAAGTAAGAGTATTCTATCACGTTTGGGAAGTTCTGGAACACTGTATCAAGTGTTCTTCTGTTTATTAATTTGTATGTCTCTTAACGTTTTTCCCTAAAAATAATACATCATGTGTTTTGGGTAAAATGCCATTTAAAATACATTTAGAAAATTTTTAAAATGTAATGTACTACGAATTTGTCACATTTTTTATGCACTTGTTAGCCAATAATAAGATCTTGTATCTTTCTAAAAAAAATCATTAATGTACCGTGATCATATAGAGTTTTTACTATGAACAACACAAACACCAGAATATACTTACATCTTTTTGTATGTACACACAGTTTTGAGAGAAATCGAAAATTCCAAAATATTCAAGAGCTGAGAACTGCAACTAAGGAGGGTAAAAACAAGAGTCAATCAAGAAGCCTAGAAATAGTCCAGAATTTCTAAGCAGTAAACCTCAGTACCCCCTTGCTTGTCGTAAAGGGCGACTAAATGGGGCGGTCCTTCGTATGAAACCGTATAAACCGAGGCCCCCTGTCACAGCAGGTGTGACACGATAAAGATCCCTCCCTGCTCAAAGGCCGTAAGTGCCGAGCATAGGCTTAATTTTGCAGCCCTTCACCGGCAATGGTGACGTCTATATATCAGTGAAATATTCTGGAGAGGGACGTTTAACAGTATACAATCAATCAATCAATCTTAGCAGTAAAAATTCTAAAAGGTTCTAAAAGTAAGTTTTTCATCAAAAACGTTATTTCATGCTGACTAAGGGTATTCATGATCCCGGTAAAAAATGTCAACTAATTCGCTGCCATAATGTCATCGCCTTGCCACCTTGGATTGAAAGTAGTTCTACCCAATAAATCCCAACATGGCACAACCCTCCAAGCAAAGTACTGATTGCATCATTTATGGGCTTAGTCCCCCTCTGTGCACCACAGGAATTCTATCTCTAGATTTTATTTATCTTCGAACTTTGCATTTTTATTGTTTTTACTCAAGATTTTTGATAGTACATGTAACTCTGTATTTTTCATGACTTTGTATCGATGGTTTGATTTGTCTATTCTTATTAATTCCATTACAAAATTACAAAATAATATACACTATTCTACCATTTGTTCTACCGACATAATCACAGTTTTTAAAAGTAAATATTTTTCCCGATTCCAATCATTAAGTTTCTTCATTTGCACACCATTTATGTCCAATTTGCTTTTTATGAAATTTTATTTTAGTTAAATGCCCATTTTACCTACAGAGTGACCTGCGTAGCACAGTGGAAAGAACGTCTGCTTTAGAATTGCGAAGTATAGAGTCGTTCCTAACGTCACAGGTTCGAATCCTACTGTGGGATGTGGAGATTGGATCTTCGGATGAGACCTATGGACCAAATTCCAGTGTCGCAGTAGATGCTGGCACGAAAAAGATCCCTCATTACTCAATGGCCCTGGGCGCCAAGTATAGGACGAAATTTGTAGCTCTTAACCGGCAAGTGGTGGCGTCTCCATATGAGTGAAAGATTCTCAAAAACGATGTTAAGCAACATACAATCAATCAATCATTTACTGTTCAGATGATTATTAAAAACTTAATTATGATTATGATATGAATATACAAATGAATATACATAGATAAAATGTTCAAATAAAAAAGACGTTCTTAAGAGAGTATATTTACAGCGCTACATGTATCTGATTTTCCTTATTATACCGCTGTAACGCTCATTTATATAAAGGTTGTCTCTGGCGTCAAGGCATAAAGCCCAGGGACGATATAGGTCATGGTTATAAATGCAACAGAGGAGCTGTCCGTCTTGATCTAGAATGTGAATACAGTGGTTGTTATAGTCTGCTATCAGAATATGACTATGGCTGTCTGATGTGATGCCGTAAACATAAAATGATCTGTTTGTGGCGGAAGTAGTACCAGTGTATCTAAATCTGAGTTTCCCTGCCTGATTAACCACAATTACTGCATTGGCTCCACCGTCAGCCACACAGATATCCAGGTTCCTGTTCTCGCAAACGTTTCTACTGCTGTAATCCGATGAATAGAGAGGTTGGCCCTCACTATCAAACTGAATTGTTTGTTTTTCCTTATAGTCTGAGAAAAGAACAACTTTTGTTTGTTTACGATAACCATTGTGCAAGATAACCAGAAGGTCATCAGAGGAGGTACTGCAGACAGAGTTAAGGTCCCAGGAATCAAACAATTCCCATTTCCAATTTATTTTAATAATTTCATGAATCTTTTCATCCCTCACTTCGTATACAGATTCATAATCAATATAGATCAGATTTCTTCTTCTAGTTACTGCAATATCTATTGGATGATTCCCTGACTTGGCTTTAATTGATTTGAGTAGTTTACCTTTACGGTTGTAAAGTTTTATGAATTTATCATCTCCGCAAGTCCAAAATTCTTCATCATTGAGACATATAATACTACTAAGTCTTTCAAATCGAGTATGTATGGTGGCGATGCGCTTTGGTTCATCAAGCAATTGTTTGACTGGAGGAGAGAATATAGTTTTTGGAGTGTCAATTGTGTAACCATGCTCTTCTGTTGTAATCGATAATGCTGACAGGGAACCAAACATTTGACGGAGATTTCCCATGCTTATCCAATGAGTAGAGAAACTTGGTGGTAAAAGGTTGATTTTTGGAGGTAGAAATCTGAATTAAGGGTTCCTTGATTTGTATCCAGAAATTAGAGACACGTCATCAGAGTCCAGTATTGTTTTGAGTTCAAGAATGTTATGTTTTAAATCAGAAGTTATATGTTTAATTTCTTTTTCTTGTTTGTTTAAAGCATCTCGGTGTTTATTTTTCATCTCATAAATATTAGATATGTGTTCTTTGACAATGATGTGGATTTTTTGCTGCACATTTTCTTCTTGTTTGGTGACAGCTGTTGCCAGTTTCTCATAATTTTCTTCAAAGCTTTCCTTTTTAGATTTTAAATCTATTTCGAATTCTTCATAAACAGGATAGATTGTTTTCTCTAATTCGTTTAAATCCTCTTCTAGAATTTTTCTTTTAAAACATATTTTTTGCATAGAGTCTGATAAAATATGTCCTTTGTATTTAACGGAGGAGGCGCATGTAGAACAGACAGGAATGTCACATTTCTCACAATAAAGCTCACAATTTTTCTCGCTGTGTTTTGGACATTTTGGGTACATAGGAGCAGAAGTTCTGTGTTTGTATGGAATAACTTTGTGTCTTTTGGATGAATCGGAGAGATGCTCCCCTACACAGGCCTTACACAGGTTAATCTGACAAAGTTCACAATGACTCTGTAATGCAGCTATTTGACACAGGTCACAGAGGAGGATGTCTTGGGCACTGTAACGGGGGTCCATAATTGGTATCTTGATCATTTGATGAAAGCTTCACAGTGAATAAAACTACGTGGCCATAATTATAACTTTTTTTATTTTCAATTTGTATACTTCATACTATTCTTTATTGTATCACTAAAGGTTAGTTTAATAATTAAAAGAATTGTTATAAAAATTATTAATGTATAATAAAACAGTTGATTTTATGTATCTGATTTTGCCTCCGTCTTGTCAAATAATTTCGTACAAAAATGAAAACAAGATCATGTATAATGGTTCGAATTGTTTCAGTATACTGAGAGGAAAAAGACACGCAGTTTAGAATAATATTCGGAAAAAATTGACTACATGACCAAAAATTACAAAAATTGGTCAGATGAGAAATTTTGTTACTATGCACCAAAATTAGTGTTTAGAATTACTCCACTGTAAAATTTATGACGTCACATAGGGAAAACGTTAAAAAGATCACAACACTTGCAATTTGATGACGTCGAGTTTGTAAACAAATTTTGTTGCATCATTTAATGCACCTGGGGTATACACATTGTTTTTCAATATTTAGAGACAATATGAATTTATTGCAATCTTGGTACAGTTTAGAGAAGTTCCATGGGGTCTTGTTTTCGAATTGCCGAGTTAATGAAAAAGGCAACAACGGGTAGCTAAGCAGTTTCTTGTGAATTTTTTCCAATAAAACTTGTTACCCGTTGTCAGAGACGGCCTGTAATGGTTTTCAATCAACCGTGACGATGACGTTAACGCAAAACAGAGTCATGTGATGAGCGGGTTATTCGTCCTGCCATCCTAAAATCGCCACCTTACTACCCCCAAAACCGCCTTTCATACAGTAGACTATCCTAATCATTACATTCACACGAAAATTGAAAGGAAATAATTCCGCAATTTGGTTTTTTGAGCCGGTCAACTTACTGTTGTGTTCCTTTCACTGGCGCATGCACGCGTCATATGACTAATCTTTTGGTTTGGTTACCCATGCCCAATATAGCCAGGGATTGAAAGATAAACACTCTGATAAATTCCATGCAAAGGAGAAATAAGGCTCGTGACAGATGCGTGGGAGAGACATTGAAGATATTGAGAGTTTTCGATTTTCAAGTTTGGGTTATCGGCATAAGGGCTTCAATAACTCATTTATTATTAAACAAAATCAAATGGGATTTTGGTTACATCTTTTTAAAAGGTGATTTTAAAAACTCAGATAACGAGCGCTAAAGTTGACATCATAAATATTTTCCGTATTTTGGAAATAAATGGAGTGTGAAGACGCATCATCATTTTAAAGATAACCTAATCAAAGTGTAAAGCCAAGGTGCTGGATTTTATACAAATGTGTTGTATTTTATTTGCGTATTAAACCGCATTAATACCAAAAATTAAAAACAAGCTAGAGGGAAATGGGGGTGGGGGTCACAGAAATATAATTTGTCAGTATATAATTCATTTTGGAAAACAAATTTACAGTTGTGGATCCTCGGTACAATTTTTGGCAGTTTATACTATATAACAAATGATATGTTCGTTTTGTTTTGCTTTGCTATTGCTTGTCAAGAATACCCCCCCCCCCCCCCCCAAAAAAAAAATGCTTCCTGAAATAAGCAAGCAAGAAAACATTGTCAATTATTATCAAATAATTAATTCTTTTCCTAAAACCACAGGAGTTCGCGTACCTATATGAAATTTACCGACTTTTCAGTAATTATAACAAAAATTTTATAGATATTACGTTTTTTTTAATTTACTGAAAATTTTGGTAAAATTGATAGGTACGCGAACTCTTGTACTAAAACATACATTTCTTAATTGTGGAGACTTGCATTCAGTCTTTGGCAGAACCAAAATTTTCAGTAAATTAAAAAAACCTAATACCTATAATTTTTTTTTACTGAAAATGTCGGTTAATTTCTGTACCGTGATAAAAGGTTGTGGATGTTGTACTTCCTTTTATAGGTACTCAGTAAGCTATAAGCTTGCTATTCGCGAAAAGTGCAAATTTTCAGAAGGTAAGGAGAGGGGTCCTTCCGTTTACTGGAAAGTTCAGTGCCAAAAATTTCACTGGGTAAAAAATTTATTTTTAGGTTTTACAAGTATCTTGTGAATCTGTTTCCGATTACACAGTGTAGTGGCGGCTAAAGAGGTGGATTTCTTTATGAAGCTATTCGGGTCATATGTACGAGATTAATGGAAAATTGCAATCAAATCTGCTCCTCAAACTGCTCCAAAAATAATAAATTCAGGACCAATATCATAGAAAAGCAACAACAAAAAACAAACAAACAAACACACACCAGGACAGAAAGTGTTTTCGGTGAACGGTTTAAAAGCTTGCTTAAATGAAATGTGAAATAATATAATAAACTTCTCTCGATCTCTCTGAGACCGTTTACAGAATGTCCCTTATTAGCAGACTTTAGTGTCGTATTCATACGAAAGTATATTCAAAATCGTAAACCTGAGAAAAAGAAAACACTTTTGTGGCCTTGCACATTTAGATTTGTCGACGACATGTATTATCAATAAACCTCCAACAGATACGTTTAGTCACTTTTATTTTGTTGACCTGACATATTCAGATAATGAAATTGTTTAATTTTCTATCATGAAATGGTGAATTAATCTTCTGATACAAATAAAAAGCTTACAAGCCATCAATCTGACCTGAACTTTTTTTGGAAGGGGGGGGGGGGGGGGGGGTAGGGGAATGACAGACTCTAGTATTAAAAAAAATCTGAGATAAATTCCCGCTGAAAATTTACGAAGTAAGTCTATATGAATGGCATTTAGGGCACAATAAACCCTCCTCCCCAAAAATAACATCTCGTGTCTCTTTTTTAATGGGGGGTAGAAAATCCTGTTTTTTCTTCAATATGCTAAAATTATCAATCCTAAAAAGGGACCATAACAAACAATTAAATAAAAATCATATAAGTAATGTCAGTTTTGTAAGCTGAGGCGATTTTTTGTGCAGTTTTTACAACACAGCTATGGAAATATGTGAACAAAATAAATGACGTTTTCCGATAATTCACAGCGTCATCACATAGAATTTTTTATTTTTATTTGAAAATTTTCACCTATTTCTGTTCCATGAACAATGACATCTTATATATCATTTGAAAGAGGAGAAAATTGTCTATTAGGATCACTTAACAACTCAAAATGTTAAATTTTTGACTTAAGGACATACACAACGTACCTTACCTACTGATAATTTTCCAACATATTCTTAATTTAAACTTATAATATCATTAAATGTTCTTGGACAAAAAATCAGCATGCGTAACCAGGGGTTTTGAAAAGTTATGGAATTTTGAAAATTTTTGCATTATTCAAATAAAAATGTACAAAAATTATAAAACATGAATTCCAGATTTTTTTCCATCAAAAACTGTTTAAGAAGAGGTGTACAAATCCATATATAGACATTAAAAATATTGCACACAGGTCCTTCATTTAGTGGAACTCTTCAACTCCAAGGCAGAATCCAAAAAAGTTAAAACTACGTTGCGTATGACCTTAAGGATGGTTTTTGCTTGACGGTCATCATATATAGACGCCACTACTCCGTGACTTGTATTTCTGAGTGAAACATTCTCGAACGGAACGTAAAAGAATCAATCAATTCTTTATAAATTTTCATGAAATAGCTGAAGCTGGATCCTAATAATCGACCACATGGCAATCTCTTTGTAGTCGTTTTAGAAAGTTTGCCTTTATTTAATTTCAAGTTTATCTAATTGTTTATCTGAAACAGACTAGAAGTTATGACTTATTTAATTTTTTTTTTCATTTTTTTTTTTACAATAAATAATTAGAATCAGAAAGTCCTTCTGTTTGAGAAACGTATTGATGTGTAAATTTTTTTCTGAATTTGTTCTCGTCCGGAAAGCAATAAAATAAAATTTAGAATGATATTATTAACTTTTAAATTAGAAATGTGGTCTTACCTGTTAATGCAATACGTGTCTATCTAGTTATAAATATTAAGCTTAGGATATTAACAATCTTCCTCTTTTCTTTATTTCGACCTGCTATGTGGACATGTGATTTAAATACCAACCAAACTTATCTTACATCTTGCTTATTGAAATCCTTTTCAAAATTACTACATTAGTTATGCCATCAACGACAAAGTGGAATGACTTTTTATTTTTTTTATTATAATTATACCAATACAATCTTTTCAGAAAGCCTGATACTATCTGATTTGAACGTTATGTTTCAATTGACTAACAATGATATAATTTGTTACACTTTGAACTCCACTGATTTTTCATTGCATAAAATTACTTCACAATTTATCTAAAATAGACCATAGAAGTAATAAACAGCATTTTTAAAAAATATTCTTTGATTAGCTATAAGAAAATACCTCCTTTCTAGAAGTCATTTTTGCAAGGTTCAAAGTAAAAATGCTTTTTTTTTTCTAAAAAATGAAATTTAATTTTCTCCTATATTTTACACCCATTTAGTTCATTTAGTTCATTGTAAATAAAACTCTTCTGAAAGATAGCTAAAAGAGTTCATTTTTTATTATTATTTAAGTACCTTATTAAAAGTTGAATACATGTACTCTTAATTACACCTCTTTCGATAGTGGCATATGAAAGAAATCTTTGCATATGCTTACGTCACGTTAGATCAAACATTAAAAAAAACTGGTAAAGTGTTTTTTCTTTGTAAACACCTAAAAGTTTGTTATTATAAAGCGTTGATAAAATGAATAAATTTTGGGTTTTTTTCTGTAAATTACCCCCGCTTTTGGCCAAACAAAAAGTATCGTATTGAATTTTTAAGGAAGAAAAAATTAATTATTATTAATACCAAAAAGCCTTTTCCTTTCCCCATTGATTTATATTGTGAAACACACAAGTTCTTCTTAAATGATAGAATTTCCTCTCTTGTTTTCCAAAAAAGTTTAACCTTAGTTTGTGATCATCCATAAGAATATCTGTAGAAATATGAAAACTCACTAGTATATAGGTCCCAAGTATTTGTTA